AGTAACGAAATAATTCCTTCGGCCGCGCGCCGCTGTTGTCCGTGAGTTTTAATATTTTGATAACTTGTAGAATCTTGGTCAGAATGACATACCGTGAAAGGCAAATATGATCTACATTTAATACTCTATCGAGTAAACATATTTATTTGGATAAGGATTCATACCAAATAAGAATAAAAGCATTTTAAATGAAGTCGATTGCATTAATTTGACGGTTTTCGCGAAACAAACGGTTATTGTGCGACAACCTTAAGAGATAGATACATGCTATCGCGGACTTTAATGTAGCTAATTGAACGAGCTACAATTCTTTCATACATCATTTTTGTGTAGGTCTTATAGTTTAGGTTACGTAAGCCAAGAAAGCAAACTTTGTTACAAGTTGATATTTTTTTCTGCGACTCATAATTTTCTTTTTATGATATCTCCTAAACTATTGATCGTAATTATACAGTTCCAAGGGCATTTATAATCTACATTAAATTCTCTTGATGATGGATATATTTATTTGGATAAGGGTTCATACTGAACACGAGTAATAGCGTTGAAAGTGGGGTATAGATTTCGAGCGATATTTTATTGAAAAAAGTGGTTATTGTGCGACAACCTTAATAGATAGATATATGCTATCGTGGACTTTTATTTAGAAAATTTAAAGGGCTACAATTCTTCCATACATCATTTTATGTAGGTCTTATAGCTTAGGCTACGTAAGCAAAGAAAGCAAAAATGACCCGAAATTTCGTCGCGCGATTTTGAGCTAAACTATTTAACTACGTCTTTGACCCCAAAAATCAACCAAAAAAATGGGATCCACCTGCAAGCATTACCTTTAGGATAAAAAAAGAATTATCAAAATCGGTCCACTAGCGGCGGAGTTATGCCGTAACACACATAAAAAAAACATAGAGACGAATTGAATACCTCCTTCTTTTGGGAAGTCGGTCAATAAAATACGGTCGGACTACCCACTAAACCCCGCGGTGTTCTCCTTCGCCCTACCGGGCCGTGGCTTCTACGTTACGATAAGATACGGTGATTTAGATTCGTACTGTTCCGTTTTATTTCCGAAGAATCATTTATTATATTTGTATTGGCACATAATTTAATACATTTTCCAGAAATCAATTGTATTGTTTGTCTCCTACAAAACTTCGTTCAAAAATTGAACGACTTAAAACCAATGCAACCAAAGACTTGTATAAAACACAACGACAACAATGACAGAGAACGCAATGACTTCGACCAAACACCAAAGATGGCACAGTCCGTCAGGAACTATGTGTGGCGAGACGATTCACTTAATATCGCGTAATAAAATAACACGGTCCCACCACAACGCCATCTGTTATAGTGCGGCAGAAACGGCGTCAACATTCCGCCCACCAAGAACTCCGTTCTTCACCGCCCACCATGGTGTATTAATGCGTGTTCTTCTGCATTGTAATTTATGTTTTTCTTGATTTGGATCTGTTGCACTCAGTGGTGTCAACTTCAAATTGCATATGTGCAACTTCACAATTGGGTTAGAGTCTCCAAGCGTGGTATCAGCTGCGCCAAAGATAACCCAACCTAATTTGGTTTTCGGAGCAATAGTTCCTGTCGAGCTCCTCAACAGCCCGTTATCCACAATTTTAGCATATACATCGGCTCCTAACAAGATGTCTATGTTTTTAGGCTTAGTAAATGTAGGATCTGCTAGTGCGATTGTTTTCAGTTGTGGCCAATTCCTGACGGTGCACTCTTGGGGCGGTAAATAGTTTGTAATGCTCTTTAAAACATAGGCTTGAACAGGTACAGTGAAGTGTGGTTTGATTCTTGAGCGTATTTTGAACTCGACAACGTATTGGGTACGTAGTTTGCTCCCTTCACTGAGCCCTGTGATCTCGCCTCTTAATTTAGTGCGCTTCAGGCCAGCCGACTTTACAAGGTCCTCGGTTACAAACGAGGCCTGTGAACCCTGATTAAGTAAGGCACGGTAGATGTGTGTCTTGCCAGTATCCTCAGAGACATCTACGAGTGCTGTAGCAAGCAGTACTTGACTAGGTTGTTGAATAAAATGAGTGGAAATGTTTTCTGTCTCCTGGTAATGAGTGTCTGTGTTTTCTGTTGTTTCCTTTTTTCCTGGGTGTAATAAAGAATGGTGTTTCCTTCTGCAAATATTGCAACACATGTCTCGTAAACATTCTGTGGCGCTGTGATTTGGAATAAGACAGTTGAAGCATAAATTATTTTCTTTGACAAAACTTGTCCTTTTGTCATGGCTCAGTCTGACAAATAATTTACACTGAAAAATGTAATGATCGCCGTCACAAAAGCTGCACTGGGCTGGAGACGCTGACGCAGTCGAATGGAACGACTTGGACTTGCTTGTACTTGTATGATCTTCCACCATCTCCAAATACTTAAACGTCATTTCCAGAAATCGGCACAATTTTTGGAAGCTCGGCATGTTGTCTCTTTCTTTAGATATGTGTTGTTCCCATAACCGATGACTGGTTGGATCTAACTTAGAAACGGTCATATAAACAAGTATGTCATCCCACGATTCTGTGTTTATTCCAATGTTTTTCAACGAGTTGAGACATTCCAATGTTGTGTACATCATCTGTTTTAAAAGCTGTGCTGACTCTTTGGAAATTGTTTTTAAAGAAAACATTTTTTTTAATATATCATTCGCTATGTACCTTTTGTTTTCAAATCGTTTATATAAGGTATCCCAGGCTAATGCATAGTTGTCGTTTGTAATTCTTATACTTCGCAGTAACTGTTTGGCTTCTCCCGAAACGAGAGACTTTAGATAATGCAGTTTTTGGACATCATCTAAAGTTGTGTTCTTGTGTATAATCGAAGTATATAAATCCCTGAACGATGGCCAGTCTGTATAATTACCCGAAAATGTGGGTATCTGAATTGCAGGTAACTTAATATCTGTATTTAAACTAGTTCTGCTCGGGCTAGGTGTATAACTCATTGTCAGTTCGATTAACTTTTCTTTCAAAGAAGTTTTGCATGTGGTATAAAGTTCATCTAATTCTTCAAACTTATCCAAACTAAAATAATCAACAGAACTTCTTTCACTACGAAGAATCAACGCTGATAATTCTTCGTGTCCCTTGGTGAACGAAAGATATAACCTTTCCAAGGTTTCTAGTCGTGTTTCGACGTAACTGACGGTAATTCGGGACTTAGGCGTTTTTAGGCGTAATTTGTTTGAGCCTTTTGTATTTGCTCAAACTTGTCCTCCTGGAGACTAAGTAATATTTTGACTTGTTCCACGTTAACAATTCAAATTAAAATGAAACAAAACAATAAAGAGGGTACACACAAAAATAGTGGCACTGGAATTATGCTGTTACAAAACAGCTGAAAGTCGATACTACCTTACCTAGTAATCGTCCTAGTCCCGTTCCTAGCAACAAACGCAAGTTAGTTTTAAATATTACAATTACAAAATAATTTCAAATACTTAACCGGTAACCGACCGAGTCAACTCAAAATATTTGAAATCATTAAAATGACAACTTCAAATATTTTACCTAGACCAATTATTCGGCAAACGAAGGACCATTTGTTTGTCTCCTACAAAACTTCGTTCAAAAATTGAAACGACTTAAAACCAACGCAACCAAAGACTTGTATAAAACACAACGACAACAATGACAGAGAACGCAATGACTTCGACCAAACACCAAAGATGGCACAGTCCGTCAGGAACTATAGGTGGCGAGACGATTCACTTAATATCGCGTAATAAAATAACACGGTCCCGCCACAACGCCACCTGTTATAGTGCGGCAGAAACGGCGTCAACACATATATATTTGTTTTTCGTGGACCATTTGGCGCCCCCTTAGAGCTTCGCCCGGAACAAGATGCCCCCCTTTGCCCCACCTCGCTACGCCACTGGGTCACATAGTGGTGGTCAAGTCAAGAGCTTGACATAATATGTAAATATATTTTGTCAACCTCTTGACCAACCAGCTTAGGGGGGAGTCATGACCTGGATGCGCCGTTGCC